TCAGGCCTGTACGGGATTCGAACCACTGACCTCTGCGATACTAGTGCAACGCTCTACCAATTGGTAGAGCGCTGCACTAGTATCGTAGAAGTCAGTGGTTCGAATCCCGTACAGGCCTGTTTTTCGCTATTGCTTAAATAGCGCTATCTACTGCGAGGATCGTGCATCATACGTAAAAGGAATAGAGTTTACACATTTTATAATCTTAATTCATAGGCTGGTGGTCAGTTTTTCAATGAATGGTGCATCAAATAGGAGGCAGTTGGGTGCATCTCTCCAAGGACTGACTTTGAACTACAGGGTTGGTTTTGTACTTCATTATAAGCCATCACTGACTCACTGAAAAGGCTCAGATTTGTGTCTTGTACAGTATCAGAAAACATTGATATGTGGTCCAGTTTTCTGTCTTGTACAGTATAGGAAAACATTACTTGATACCTGCTGCACACAAAGTCATGTTTACAGTAGAATTTTTATCAGAAGTTACGTAGACTTAAAAAAAAAAAAAAAAAGAAAAGAAAAAGAATTGAAATTTTAAATCTTGTGCTGCTTGTTGAAAGTAGTATTTATCAAAAGTTACACTCTGCTTTAGGGTCACATTTAGTGTGATGTTAGCCCTTTTCCTTATTTTTAAAACAACAAAGATCACTATAAGGCTTTGAGGAATGAATCCCACAAATCCTATACCAAGTTTTTTTCCTAAGATCTTCACAATTTAGTCTGTTGTTTAAAGCTGAATTTATTTTATAAAACATCAAAACTGGGCTTTTTGACTGTTTGTCTTTCAGGCACCATGGCCAGTCAGTATCATAATTGACAGTTCCTGTCAGAAGCTTTACAATCTTGTGTTTTTGTTTCTCCTGAAACTGAAACAAGCAAAGTGGAGCCTGGATGAGCTCAGATTTGCAGGTTTTGAAAAGTTGTTTTCCTTATAAAAAAAACATGTAATGGATGGAGTATACATTTTTACTGTTTAACAAATAGATTCTATTTTGTTGTAATGTGCATCTGTTCAGTGATAGATGACATCAAAGTGTGGTAAGACCTAATAAAGTGGTACAAGAAACAGAACCAAGTGTGTCGCTGATGCAGTGTTTTGCACTAAAGAAGGAGGGACATAGGTGTAAGTTTAGGCAGGGATCAGGGCTTGAAATTAATTTTTGGAGCACTAACCCTTTGGGTTAGTAGACATCTTTTTAACTAACCAAATTATAAAGTTTGGTATCCAAGCTCACAAGTTACGATTTCTCAATTATTCAACATTTTGATAATGACGACTAGGACAAATTAAAGAGTAGCTGAAATTGCATGGTGACCTTAAAAACGTTGATAATTATGCACTTATTTTATTTCCCTCTCGTTTACCATGATTAGTCAAGAACAGTACATCTACTGCACATTCTCTTAAAAATAGTTTAAGTTGATTTAACAACTTGAGTGTTCTAAGTATTCCTCTGAGAGTCGAGTCTATGTGCTCTTTGTCCCGAAGTCCACCAATGTTTAAATATGTTAGAAAATTTTACTAACCACATCGGGTTAGTTGAACACATTTTTAGTAACCAAACGTGGAAAATTACTAACCATTGGCTAACGGGTTACCGTTAATTTCGAGCCCTGGGGATGGTATGGGAAGTGCCAGAGAGGTTTTTACCTCCTTGTCTTCCCCCTCCCCCCTCCCCCCCAACCCATCCTGTTATTTTCTTTGCCACAAAATAGTGACTTTGCCTGGTTAGCAAAGTGAGGGTACAGAACTTGACTACTTCTTTAACATCTAATGGTTGTATTGTCTGTTAGACCTCAGAAGTGACAGACAGCAGATGAAGACTGATGACGCTGATGATGAGAATCAAACAGGAGATGATGCGCAGAGAACTGGCGAAGGGTTAGGCTCACCACCCCCTGATCAGAAGTTGCAGCATAAAATGTCTGTGTTCAGGTTCAAATTAATGCAGTTTATCAATTGGATTCACAACCACTTCATGACACGAGTAAGTGGATTTACCATCATAAATTATAAAATAAATTATGTATGAAAGTTGTTACACTGCAGGTGAATTGTTTTCGTCTGCCATTAGAAAGAATCCTACTCTGAACCCCTTTAACTTCCAAGATCTGATTGTTTACTCTCGCCTTCAGCTGCGACATATTTTTGCTGTAAATAATTTACAAGAAATTGATATTAGATTAAGATAACGGCTACTTTATAAGTTTGAGCTTTCTCATTACCTGTTTACTGGATAACGTATGGATTTTTTAGAGAGAAGTTACATGTTAATCACATCTGGAAGTTAAAGGATTATATAAGCCTTGAAAGACATGCATAAATTGGGATACAAAAACAAAATGCTCTTTAAGAGACGTTTAGACTGCTGAGATTGCAAGATCTGATTTAAATTTTGGACAATCCACCAATTTTTCAAGGTGCCATTTGCCATCCCCTAACTTTGTGGACAGTAATGTCTTAACGAGTGTTTTTGTGTGGACAGCATGGGTTCGTTGTATAATTTATGCATAAAACTTGGCAGAGACCTTGATGAAGATGAAAGGAGATCAGTCATGATTGATTTAATTATTACTGATTGATTTAATTATTACTGATTAATTATTACTGATTTAATTATTATTGATTGATTTAATTATTACTGTTAGTAAGTACAGCCCATTTCTAATCACTGTTCATTTACAATGCGATTTCCTTTTGATATTTTGAATTGTATGATAGATCTTACATTCAACTGTGCTAGAATTCCAAGAAGCTTTAGATCAGGTATGGTGCTTTATTGAAAAAAAAAAATACTTTGACACTTGACTAACTTGTAAGCCTGAAACAAAATGTAAGTCAAACCAAATAGTTTTATACTATTAAATTTAAATATTTTCTCTTTAGTTGTAAATTTTTCATTATTATTTAATATATTGTCAACTAGCAACATCTTTTCAAATGAAAGGGTGCACTGAAAAAAGCCCAAAGTGACTCCTGATAGAATGTTGGATTCTTCTGTCAGGTTGCTTTGTAATTCTATGCTATGTTTTATTGTTATGGACTATTTACAGAATTTATAACATCAACAGTGTATACAAAAGGAAAAAAAATTCCATCAATTAAAGAGAAAAAATATTACAATACGCAGCCAAGGTAAAATGTGCTCAGTGACCAAAGTAGCATTGGCTTTTGTGTTGGTCACTGACACGTACAAATAATTGACACGACACATCAGTCAATAATTTGGATATATCAACAAAGTTGAAATGATAAATTGGCCACCGTAACGATTACAAAAGCTGACGTTTCGAGCGTTAGCCCTTCGTCGGAGCGAATAGTCAGTCAATGGTCCTAGAGAAATGTGAGAAGAATTTGAAGTTGCATAAAAATTCAATTTATAAAACCGTATTTCCCACATCTCTACAAAATTTCTTAAAAAAATAAGAAAAACAAATTAGCTGCACAGTAGAGTTGCAATTTTATTTTGTTTTTCGTTTGTGTATAAGTTTGTTTACTTTTTCAGGCAAAGGATCTAGACGATCTTATCAAGGCTCATTCTTCTTATGTTGAGAAACTCTATGATCGCTGTTTGCTGAGTCAGAAGGTATCATGGGTACACTGTTTGGAAGGATTTTAACCCCCTAATTCCCATGAGTGACCAAGAGAGAATTTCTCCTTACAATATCAATGCAGTGTGAATCAGACAAGTGATGAGAATAAAGAAAAATATGGATGAGGGGATTGTTAGTTAATCCAATACCAAATTGTCTGAACTAACATAATAATTGGTCAGCAGAGAGCATGAATGATGAGGTCTGGGGAGTGAAAGGGTTGACTGTTTTGTCCCTAGAAGTGACCGGCTTCTAAATTCCCATTCATTGTCTCTCTTGAATCAACTGTAAAGGTCATGAGAATTAAGGAAATGATCACCAACTAGAGAGGCTCTTGATTGGCATGCCAATTCACCTTGTCAACACTTTAGGAAATGTTTAGAGATCAGTATGGAGAATATGCGTACTGATGTTATGGTGTCAAGGGTTTAAGAGAAAAATTCCAGCTGCCTAAATGCATTGCCTGAAAAAACAAAGCTTAATTGAAATTGAAAATTATCTTTAGTTAGCTAATGCAGTTTTGAAAGTTTGTGTTAGTCCAGTTACCAAAACTTTCAATTCTTTTTTTTAATTAGTTTGTTTTGTTTTTTATTATCCAACTGTGCTTCTAGAGTACAAATAACGTGTGAGATGAGTACAAATATCAGCGAAATTTACCCACACTGAAATAACAATTTGGCATGTTGGATAATAAATCTCTTATTAGACGTTTTGTTGTGTCGTATCGCTGATTACTTTTACGAGTTGTTTGTATTTTGACTTGCCCTACGGGCTCATCAAAATACAGCACAACTCGTAAAAATACTTAGTTCTTATTAACCAAGCGGGAGGTCTGTATGGGAGAATCTTGACTGAGGTCGCCAGTACAGACCGAACACAGTGAAGTCTGTACCAGCAACCGAGGTCAAGATTCTCCCATACAGACTGACCTAGCTCAGTTAATAAGATGCTTATTATATGGCTGTGTCTTATATGCCAATTTTTTATATTCTTTACATACCTTTTTTTCTAGACTGGTCTAGATGCCGGTCTAGATTTCCTCATCTAGACCACTTTCAATATTGATTTCAGCCAATCAAATTCATGAATTTGGTTGTTCCCAGTCCTTTTGAGACACAGCCATGTAATAATCTGCAGTACTACTCAACAAAACGTCTAATAAGATATATTTATTTGTCAGGTTGGTTATCTACGTGAAGTTATTCTAAAGGTCCTCAATTTAGTGCTGTTGTTCCAAACATATTGGGATAGGGGCACTGAACTCATCAAGTAAGGCAGGCAGCTGTTCTTGTACATAAAATAATAATCACTCTTGTTACTAGTTTGGATGTGTCAGTTTGGTCACTCTTTTAACTTCATCTTATTTCTTCCTACAATTTCACCCCTGAATAAAAATTAATATTTACTATTAATATTTAATATTTATAGACTTATATTGCACAATTATCAATATAAGAATTTTCAACTGCACATTACAATTAAATGCTAAAAAATTCAACTCTACATGGATACTAAAAACTAAAAACTAAAAACATTCACTAAGAAGATGTAAAAATATAAAAATTAGATATAAAGAATCAAAAACCTTTGCAAATAATAAAGTCTTAATGGCTTTCTTAAACTTGTGTAAAGATTGGCAGTTTCTGATAGAGCCCAGAAGAGGTCTTAAGAACAAAGGAAATTATCACAAGTGTAAGACTGAGGCTCTTGATTGTTAAACAAATTCTCCTTGTCAGCAACTGAGGAAATGTATAGAGAACAGTATGGAGAATATGCAGACTGATGTTAGGGTGTACAGGGTTAAGAAAGACAGTTCCCATCTAATAATCTGCTATATTCCAGAGCATTCCTCCTATACTGTAAATTACTGTATTATTCATTCCTTAAAGAAGGGTTTATTTCTCTTGTAGTGAACAGAAATTCAAGAAAATTGAAGAGGAATTTACCAAATGTAACACGTTTCTTGTTTCATGTCTGGGAAACATTGCAAAACGAGGAGCTTTTCCACACTGTAAGTGGGGTACTTTTCACCATAGTTATAATCTACGGCTGTACAGAAATTGGTAATGTTTGTTGCTAGGGCAAGGTAGCTGTCACTACCAGATTGAAAATAGCATTCATTTTTCACTAAATATTGTTTTGCTTGTCTTTGTTTCTCTTCTTCTTACAGTGGAGTCACTTGCATTTGCCTTAGGATCATCTTGAAGTCTTGCACTTAAGGCTTCATTAGTTGGTCTGCATTGAAATATCAAGAGTTATACTCCAACAAATGGATGTCTCCACATGGTGACTGAACAAATTTAGAGCAAACTCACTTTATTTCTAGATGTGGGGAGATTTGTACATTATGGAGTTAAATTTTTCTCAAGATTCATAAGATGTTTCTGTAAGTTTTATTGTTCGGCAACAACAACAATAACAATGATCTTTTAATACTCTTTTCTTTTGGTATTATTTCCCTTTTTCTTCTGGCCAACAATGTAGCCAGTGCTATTCTAGGCAGGCCAGTCTATAAAAAACAATTGCAAACAAAACCATACATAAAAAGAAAAAAAATAAAGTTTTATAAATTTTATGGTAGCTAGATTTGCTGAGAGGCTTACTTTTTGTTGAGTGATAGTGCACATTAACCCATTACTCTCATGAGTGACCAAGAAAGAATTTCTCTTTACAAAATCAATACAGTACCAAGCTGACCAGTAATGAGAATAGAGAAGAATATCTAAAGAGGAATCATGAGTTGATCCAATACCAAATTCCCCAAACTTAAGGCACATAAATTGTATAGCAGACAGTAAGGAGAATATTACTAATCAGATCTTGGGAGCGAAAACAATAATGTGTTTTACCCCTTAAGAGTGACTAACATCAAATTTTCTTCTCATGCTACCACCCCATGAATAAAACATAGAGATCACCAGAATAAAGGAAATGGTCATCAACTGAAGCAGCTCTTGATTGCTAGGCAAATTGTCCTTGTGAGCACCTTAGAAAATGCCCAGAGAACAGTATGGAGAAAATAGATAATGATGTGAGGGTGTTTAAGGTAATTATGAGTAACATCGCCTGTGCTAGGCCTACAGCTAGTACAAATGAAGTGAAAAACTTGAATTGCCATTTGTTTGTTACTTGCTCTCTCTTCTGCTCATTGTCACTGACCAAGACTTCAGGGGCACATAAGAAGTAGATTGACCTCTCGTCACTCACTGCTTTGCTGCTTAAAGCTGCTACCTTGTAGGCAGACTGACAATGCAGAAATAATAGCTGAAAACTGAATAGTTTAATGTATATTTATGGAGTTATCTTTCATGAAACAAAATCTCGGCAAACTGTCCCCCTGCCTCATTTGTGCCATTCGGACTTGATTGACCCGTAAATCTGAAGTATGCACCATCGCATTCCACCACATTCAGCCCACTAGAGCCATACCATGAACTAACCCCAGAGATCAATGCCGAGATCTGATACTGCACGTTGGGTTGCAGTTGCACAAGATCATCGAAGAATATGTCAAAACCAAAGTATCCATTTGTTTTCTCTGCATCTGTCTCATAAGAACCATCAACAGAATACAACTCTTGATCCCGGCAGTTACCTTCCACAACCAGAGATAACTTGAGGGAGACATCGTATGAGAACCCTTTGCTCCCAAACAGACGGACCCCACCTATGTATAGAGGGGTATCGACGGCAAAAACCACCCCATCAGGTATACCACTGGAGTAGGCCCATCCATGGCTGACCTGAGGGAATCTCTTACAGCGGGAAAACACACGGGGAGAAATTAACTTCCTTGGACGTTTTGAGAATTTCAAGCCTGTTATGGACACAGAGCTGTACCACATGAACATCTCGATGACATCCTCTTTGGTGAGGAGCCCAGAAGTTGGAACCTTTTCAGCAAATTGTTCCTGTGTCATCAGCGGAAAACGAATATTATTTATGATTTCCTCGCCCGTTACTTTCCTTTTATTTTCTTTAGAGGGTTCAATCTCTTGTCGCTGACACTCCACATCTGCCCATCGATCAACAGCTTCGAAAAGGTTCACTTCGTGAATCGCCAGAGAGTCTCGGACCACAATTTCTTCGAGGAGTTCCATTGCAATGGACGAGAAAGAGTCTGATCTGAGCACTTCTTCGGCCCTTGCATCCACAACCTCCCAGCAGCGAGTCACAAGCTCGTTGTCTTCGAACTTTTTCGCATGGGGTAATATGTCGAAGACATTTTCCGGCGAAAGATTTTCCGTCAAGAATTTCGTGCATTCGATTTCGAGTTCCGGAACAATGTACTTCTTCGCCAGGTACGAGACTTGCATTACGCACCCTCCGGTGAGCTTGACTTCATCGCAATACAGAAAGCGAAGAAACTCATCAAAGCTTTCTGAATCACAGTCAGGTAGCTCAATTTTGCTTTTACTCTCCGCTAAATCGCCGTAAAACATGGCATAAAAAACTGGACTGCTTACAGCTAACACGAACTTGTGCCCAGAGAAGGTGACGTGGGATCCCTCAGAATCTTTAATCACAAAAGATATGTCGCTCATCAATGGGTTTTTGAACATAAACTCGATCCGTTCTTTGATGTTCTTTCTTTTCGCCTGCCAAGATTCAAATTCTTTCGACGCCATGGAGGCCTTGTCATTAATCCCAAATGTTTAGGTGTAAGCACGGGAACTGAAAGGGAAGATTCGGATGAAAGACCGCTGTTTGAGATACCGTGGGAGCAGTATGTCCCTCGCGTGACTCTCGGCTTAGGGCCGACTTCAGCTCGTGTCAAATCTGTTTCCGCCTTTTTCTTTTTTCCAATTTAGACAATTTATTTGGCCGTCAACATTAACAGAGAAAGGTTTGAGTGAATTATGCATTTTATTTCTAGATTACCAGAGGAATAAGACTTGAAAAAGAAGGAAAGACAGTAAAATTTAAATCATCTGAATTTTGATCGGCTTTATTTATCCTGAAAAATAGCGCTTAACTGAGAGAAAAAGACTGTAGTGTCCACAATAAAAATAAATATATTATCTAAAACATTAAGTCAGTTTTTTATTAGTATCTTACTTGACGTGATCAACGAACTTGACGCGAAAAGAGGGGCTTTCGGAAAGGGGTCCTGATGTCGTTTTACGCACAAATTACAAAAAAACAACTCATGCGTCACATCTACTTTAAAAAGCATTTCACACGTCACGAGCTTAATAGCGAGGACTTCAAATCTCACCTTTGTTTGCCTTTCTGTAACATTCACGAATCACGTATTTATTTTAGGATTAATGACGCTTCGCATAGAAACACTTTGCGATGGAAATGAAAGCAGCTTATCTTTCTCTTGTTGTGTTAGCTGTACTTCTTAATCATAACAGTGTATTACCACATGGAATGTTGACCTTAAATGCGATCTGTGCAGCTATTTCGTGTGAAACTCTTTTCCCAAAAAAAATCTCGATTTTTCTTAAATGCTTAGCTGTTTCCTAGATTTTGTGATATTTTGATTTTTTTTTCTTTTAGCGAAGTCTCGCATAATTTATTTTTGTGACGGATTCTTTGAAGAGAAAACACAATTGAAGCAATTTATTAATCCTGGCTGAAAGTCTTCAGAGGCTTAAAATAACCCGAACAACTAAAAAGCCATCTTCTACATTTTGGGTCATTTGAGTGATGTAAAAGACCGCTTGATAGCACAAACGACGTATCGATGAATATTATCTTCATTAGCCGCGCAAAGTATGACGCAGTGCCTTTCTTGTAATCGACAAAATGTGTGCGGAAAAAATTTCCAGTTTTAACGTTTTAGACAAAAGCCAATCGTACCCAATTGAATGACGTCAGAAATGAGGGTCAGGGCAGAAGTTTCAACCGCTAATGTCGATCGAAAAAGTCCCAAAGCCACGTAACTTAGGCCGTCGAGTCTTTCAGGAATGATTCACTTAAGAGATAAGAAATCCGTCTCGTCTTGGGAGTAAGTTCTTGACAAATCTAAATTTCTCAGCAAAATAATAGGATCGCTTTCGTGTAGTGACAATTAATTGATATTCACTACTCTCGCTTCGCCTGGCTCTTAGCAGGTTGTTATTATTTTTTTCTTTTTTTCTTATCACCGGAGGAGGTGAATGAGTAAGAATTGTTTTCTACCTTATTAACGGTGCAATACTAATCTACGGTAAGATAGCTCTCCTGATTAAAAATGATATGGCAGAGATAGGATGTCAATCTTACTTAAGATTGATGTCTATTTATGAATACTCACGCGAACCACATATTTTTTTTTATAGCTAACTTCATTTTTTAATTTTTTTTTCTCCTTAAGATTTTGTTTAAATAATTCGCCTGCGGCATTCCATCAATTTTAACTTCTGATTATGGGGTGTTGGCGAAACTCTCATAAACATTTGGTTTTTAATAGGCAATCAAATATTTATAAAATTGCGTAAGTATATATTTTTAAAATGTTGTATTTGCATTTAAGCAAAAAAAAAAAATTCAAATTTTTAATCATCTACAAAAATTTTCATTTTCAAGTACGAAGTCTACACAACGTTAATAAAAAGTACATTTCTTTGCGAACCATTTTGTTCATAAAACCGTATATCCAGGGGTTTAACACTGCGCTGGTGTAAGCTAGAAAGGTGTAAAATAAGTACACTTCGCGGGGNGCGATCTCGCTTGTGCTCGTTTCAGTCGCTTGGTTGGTAAATGGAAATTTTAGCTGGTAACCGGCATATGTAAATGACAAATTATCTTAAAAACATTGCTTTACTACTTACAATAAGCGGAGAGAAATTACTCAGTCTATTTACAGGTCAATTTCACCACTCATCTAATCAAAGACGCATCAGTCTGACAAAATATAACACGCGTGCATCACCTCATACTACCGGACTACTTAGAGTTACAGCTATTGTTACCAAAAGTGTAGGAGAGCGAAAATGATATAAATACTCAGATGTATATATTATTAGTATTTTACAAGAAAACGTTGCATATGTGACTGAAACGTCTATTGTTGAAAAAGTTAAGTCAAGTAGATTTCGATTTTACACGTACACGTGTCTAAATCGTTACAAATGGTATGAAAAAAAAAACAACATCGATGTCCCTTTCACAAATCACTGTGTACGTAATTCAGCATCTCGAACGATAACTCAACAGCAACCACAGGGAGCCCATAAAATCTGTCTGTGTAGCCAACCGTTGTTTTATAGTGAATGTACCAGATTTACCGTTTGCCTCACCTATAGTGATATATTGCTGACTATATGTACATAAATCATTGATAAGTAAACGTTGAATTACCTTACCTGTGGTGCATAGTCGTCCTTTTGCCTCAAAAAAATGTTTTTTTTTTCAGCGATTTTGAATAAGTCTGATTTCTTTAAATGCATTACATTAACGACGAAATCAGACTTATTCAAAATCGCTAAAAAAAAAAACTATTTTTGAGGCAAAAGGACGACTATGCGCCACCGGTAAAGTAATTCAACGTTTATTTATCAATGATTTTTGTACATAGTCAGATATATATCACTCTAGGTGAGGCAAACTGTAAATCTGGTACATTCACTATAAAACAACGGTCGGCTACA